CGTCTTCGGACAGCGCTGGCTCTTTGGCTTTGAAACGGAGATGAGTACCGCCCCCTAGAGTCGGGAACGATGAGTACATACGTGCAGGGGGAACCTTTAACTTTACCTATGTCAACAAGACTGCTGCTATATCGTGGCATCCGTGCAAACTTCAGCTTCGAGAGAATCAATACTTTATAATAAGTTGCTAGGCTGCCTGGTAGTGAAAATACGTTTGAGTTCTATAGGGGAATAGAACGGCAGCTCCAACAAGGAGAAACCAATTAAATTTCCAACTGGCAAAATGAGATGATTTTGCACAATGCCTCACTCGGAATGATTAGCAAAAACGGGGTGAAATCATCAGGGCAGAACTAATTTGCAGGACGCAAATTATGGTTGCATTCGAAGATTCCTGGATTTTCCAACTTGGGGATTTGGAGGGCGTCCTCTTCCCACGCTTGGCCCCAAAGATAAAGAATAGTGGTAGTCTTGCCACAGGACCTTCTGTTTTGAGACAGTATCCAAATTGCCCATCGAACGTGGTGGCTAAGACGCTGAGCTTGTCAATCGGGAAAGTCGGCAGTTTGACGGTTCGAATCCCTAGCGCTGCGTAACGGAGGGAGCTCCCGTTACTTGTCCCAGCTTCTGCCAACCTAGCAGTCCGAAAGCACGTAAAGAATGCAAGTAGAAAAATAGGAACCACCCTTGGTGGGAAGGGAGCAGCATTCCGTACGCCTTCGGGGGTGTTGAATCCTGCCGGCCACATGACCACGGAGACATCTTCGGACAGCGCTGGCTCTTTGGCTTTGTAACGGAGATGAGCACTGCCCCCGAGAGTCGGGAACGACTAGCACATATGTTCAAGGAGAGCCTTTGCCTTTAATTGTCTGTACGTAGCTTCTCCAAGCTCAAATTTGTGATCTTTTGCAGCCTAGGATTGATGCCCAGTTTTACTAAGCCTTGCTAGCCATTCCTCCTCGTTAAAATCTGCCCTTGTCCTCCCAGCCACCTCAAGTCCTGCGTTTCCTACACAACCCCTTCATAAATTGGAGAACAATCACAGATCCAGCCTCCCAACCACAGTGGTGTTGAGATTCTTGGGTACAATTTTCTTCTTCTTCTTTTTCTGCGTAGAGTAGTAGTTCTTTTTATTTTATTTTTCTCAAAAGTCGGTGGTGGAGACAAACTTTTCAATAAAACGAAGCAGGCAGAAGGGGGCAGGCCTAGAAAATAGGGCTAGGAAAAAGCTGACTGCTATCCTACAGTTTTGTTTTGCTGGATTGGATGGGAAGTTTTTGAGCTGGGCTCTTCCCCATTCCGGATCGAGCCACCCGTCCTGGTTTGAGCTGGTTTTGGTCAGTGCCAAGGGGTCCTTTTGTCATTTCAGCCTGCTCCCCTGCCTGCCGGCACCCCCCCTCCCTTCCCTCCACCAACCAACCAATGAGGCCGTCTCCCCTTTTGGAATTGAAATGACAGAATTGGGTCGCAACCCCTCCCTTAACACACACACACACACACACTCAACTCTCATCCTTTCTGCTCTTTTTTTCCCTCTCTCCAGCTGGAATTTCGGGTTGGACCGGAGAAAGGAGGGATGTCATCGGAGATCAAGGGGGTAGTCTTGGGGGGTGCCTGGTTCCCTCCCCTCATTGGGCCCCAAGCCAAGACCCCCAGCTTATAAAGTGGGAGAGAAGGACTCATGTTCCCCAACAACACAGCAGAGTTCAAGTTCGAGGCTGCCTGAGAGGCGAAGTTAAACCCCACGAAAAGTAACGGCGTTGGCTTCCATCCCTTGAAGACTACCAAGACCATCACACACACACACACACCCTTCGCTTCCAGCAACGCATTTTCCACAGCCTTCCCTGGGCTGGCCTGCGGTAAGTGCCTCCTTGTTTCTCAGCTGCTCCTTCTGAGCCGCTTAAATAACTCCGAACAAGCCACACACATTCAGCCTCCGGATTTGCAGGAGATGAGGGGGCTCAAGGGGTCAGATAATCAAAAGGTGGACGAGAGGCCGGGTTTTATCAGTAGGGAATTGGCTGGAGGGATGGTTTCTGTCCCATCAGAGTGATATATAGCAACAGACGAAGCCGCCATATCCTGATTCAGGGGGAAGGTAGGAAAGTCTTTTTAAAAAGGGGGCCTAAAGCATTTTTCTTCTTCTTCTCTCTCTCTGTTCTCTTAGTGTCATTCTTTCGTTAAAGGGGCAAAAGGAGAATGGACAGGTAGGTAGGTAGGTAGGTAGGTAGGTGGGTGGGTAGAGATGATAGGATGGATGGAAGGAATGATGGATGGATGGATGGATGGATGGATGGATGGATAGATAGATAGATAGATAGATAGATAGATTAGATAGATAGATAGATAGATAGACAGACAGAGAGAGAAGGAGAGAGAGAGAAAGAGAGATAGAGAGATAAAGAGATGATGGATAGATGAGATAGACAATATAGATAGATAAATAGATATAGATAGATAGATAGAGATATATAGATGAGAGAGATAATGATAATGATATAGCTAGATATATATATAGAGATAGATAGAGAGAGAGAGAGAAGGAGAGAAAGAGAGAGAGATAGAGAGATAAAGAGATGATGGATAGATGAGATA